AAATACCAACTGGGGGCGCTGTAAACAGCTTGCCACTAAATTCTCAGACCATTCCACTGTGTTCAGCGGGGTACTACCACAACTCTTCCTGTTGCCATTTATGACTTATCCATCTATAAATTATGTTCATCTACTATCTTTGGTAAGTGATCTTGTCTCAGGCTAGAATTCTTTTTTGTGTGTGTGTGTGTGTGTGTGTGTGTAAAACTCAGCATTACAATCTTTTTCACTTAGAAAATGCTGCAGAATGGAAGAGGACATTAGTCTGCTATTGTCAGCAGCTTCTTTAAGTCCCCAGAGGAGAAGAAATCTGCATAGGTGGATCAATAGTGGCTCACAGACATTTTAAATGTATACCCGCAGAACAGGTAGCTGGGCACATTTTTCATTTTCATAGCTACCTTGGGGGAAAGAGATTATATACATCTGATAAATTAAAGGATATCCATCTATGAAATGGTGAGAATTTTAAGTTAAGTTTAATCACCTACAGGTTTGATCTATTGTTTGACATGTTCTGAATACCATTTCTATCTTTTTTTTTTCATGTTGAGCTGTGAACCTGGTGGAAATCCACTTCACAGATAAGTCACAAGCTATACTGAAATATTTTCAGTTACAGTTTTAACATTCCCAATGTATCATCCTGAAGGAAATCAAGCAAGAGTGAGGGCAGAACTGGCAATGGCAGTTTACAAGTCTAGTGGATTCTGACCATTTCCTATCCCTTCGATGGCCTTACATACTCATATGGTTATGAGGAAGCTATGATGTTAAAACTAGAAAGTGTGCATGCATTTAGAGAAGGCCTAGCTGAAAGCAAAGATTATTTTAAGCATCTCTAATAGAACATGAATAATCTATTGAAAATCAAATAACACGAATTTGGTCTATGTAGCAAACATGTGGAGGAACATGCATGTACATTAGAAACGGTCCCTAACTTCAACTCGTAGTTCTCCTTGTGTACCATCGGCATCCGCCGCGTTTTCAAAGCAGTACACTTCGATACCGGATTGCGAGGTAAAAATATAATCATTAAAACTGTACTATTAAATACACAGCACATCTGGTGTTGACTAAGGACTCCACTCGAATGTTATTTTAGGATTAACTTCGCCTTATGTCAGTGTACAGTACGGTCACATGACTGAACTTTGAATTGACTTGAAACTTCATAGACAAAATCGGTGTAAACGGACCCCAAATGGCCTACCTTCAGCGGTTGGGTCACTGAATGGCCACGTATTGATAACGAGAGGTAATGATGCACGTCCAAGTGGAAGAAGCCAAATTGAAGCGTAAATCTGGAGCGATATAAACATTTTGCCCTGACAACCTTCCATGCTCATTACAACACTGAGAGCTATTTCTTATTCACTGCTATTCTTACGGCATCAACAAATCAAATCCCCACAAATTGCCAAACAGGTGAGGTTATTACATCTAATAATATTTCATAGGAGGCTATTTCCTGCTCGCCGATGTTTTGTTATATCATCCTTGTTGCGTCACAAGGGGAGTGGGCGGGCTTTTCGTTAAAGACACAGACAGCAACGCCTTAGGCTCTGAAAGCCACGTTCATCGCGGGAGGATATAATTCCTCGCTCTCCATTGAGTTTGTATTGGGTGAAGGCGTCTCTGTGTTAAATAAACAAACTAAAAGCCTAGAAGCAGCTGTGTGGTAGGAAACACTGACAAGGCAAAGAACCCAGATACTGAAAACTAAAATTTTAAGAAGTCTGTCCTTCTGTCCATCCACTGGATTATTGTGAAAGCAATGTCAGGAACACCTTGAGGGAATTTCTTCAAATTTACCACGAGTGTCCATTTGCACTCAAGGATAAACCCATTAGATTTTAGTGGTCAAAGGTCAAGGTCATTTACCTTACTTCTTGTCTATACCCATGAATTTGACTGGTTGGCGGAGGCATACGGCTGCAAAGGGGTAGTTGAGTTATGCTATGAACAAACCAACCAACACATTTCAGAAAAACATGACCTTCACCTTGGCAGAGGTAACAAGATTAAATGCATCTGTTATAACAAGTCATCATGTCTACTGTTGTCAACTGGAAATCATCTTTAGTAAAATTCGTTTAATCTGACTTTTTTTTTTTTCCTCCTGCTAGATTTCTGGGAAGTTCTCTTTCC